AAAAAAACATTATCGATACCATAAAATTATTATACCGACAAACAAGGCTTGATAATTAATTCATCGTAACTCATTGTCAATTTATTAATGAAGTCAACAATGCAGAGTTGGTGATTGTGTTTATTCCTTCATGAAGAAAGATTGGATTTTATAGAAGATGGGAACAATCATTGAGCCAAGATGCTAAGTCACTGGAGCTTTAGAATAAACTAAGTAAGGTTCAACTGTTTAACAAAAATTAAAAGGAGACCTAAATAAATAAAGGCAAGTGGAACGTCCTATGCATTTGGGATATGAAATGGAAGAATAAGTAAATTAATAGTAAACTAATGAGTGCGCTTTAGATATGAATAGATAAGTCGTACCAGTATACAATTTGCGATTTTTTAGGATAACAAACGACAAGGCTTAGGTGATTAGATAAGTGGCAGAATATCTTATAAGTAAAAATTTCAACTTGTTATTTTAACTAAAGCTTACAATAAATAATGCAGAACATAAGCACTTCTACAGCATCTAGACGCAGACATTATAGTTACAACCAGTAGGGCAACACATTCTTCCACGACAATCGTTATTATGCATGCACCAGTTAACTGGTGATCTTACCTTAACAGATAGAGATCAGTCCAGAAGTTTGCACAAAATGCATGAACCAACCTACCAAACACTGAAAACCGAGCTGAACTGTTGTAGGGCATGCATTGAAAGGCGGTTCGCAGCAAACATCTTGATTTGTATCCGTGCATAGCTAAATTAACTTTCACTTACGCAAAACCCATCGGCTCACACGCGCTTACCCTTCCAGTGCTGCATTGTTCGCTGGCGGTACAGGTAGATAGGAGAAATCTGGCACGACATATGGGAAGTTTGCTTGATAGTGAGGGGAAGCGTGGTTCGTAGAACTCTGAGTATATTATGCTCATGCTCAAACTTGTTGTTTTTTAGACAGTTTTGAAAATTGCTGATTTAGGCTAAACATTGCAGGTCCTTACTATAACTCACATTGTCCTTAATTAATTTTTAGGGCATTTAGCTTTTAGATTCTAGAAGTGTTCTAACATCGGACTACATGTAAGTCATAGTGATTTTTTACTGCTTGATGTATAAATGAGTAAGGATTCGAATGCAAGATCCAAATTTGTCTATGGCCTGTGGAATATTTTCCTTATAAGAATTTTTCCCATTTTTCACCGTCAAGAGTCGCTTTAAAAAGCACCAATAATTGACTTGAAGCAAAAAAAAAGACTAGCCTAAAGAACAACAAAAAGACTTAATTCTCAGCAGTAAGGCGATCCCATCAAAACTGAGTTATGAACAGCTGTGTTAGCCAAACATTTATCTTTGGCGCAATTACAGGCTGTGCAAGGTCAGTAAAAAACGCCTATGCTCTTCAAGAAGCTTCCGCAGATAATGAAAGAGAGGAATTCAGATAAAGTAACGCTTAATTTCATCCAATAATATTAAAAGAAATCCTATTTTTCTTCAAGATAAAAAAGTTAGGGAGAAAATTCATGTAAAAAAGTTCAGCCTCGCCTACGCCAAGCCCTCTTTAGCAGATTTCTCTTACGGGATCACTTTGGGAAAATGGGAAAATTTGGAAACCGCCACTAAAGTTCCCCTGGGAGTATGGACTAGAGCATCGAGAATAACGGAATCACTAATAGGATTATGCTAAGATACTAATATTATGTGATGTTTGGGTTAAAATCAAAACTTTGCTCACCTCGAATCAAAGAGGCATTCGGAATCGGTAGATGCCTTCGAGTTCGGATGCACTGAGGTCTTTCAATACCATGAGCTCTCCAGTAAGAACACCAGTCGATTATCCCTCAAAATTCAATCAATGAAATTTCAAAGGCATATATCGGATTAATCTGCAAAAACACATATTTTCCGATAAAAAATATATAATAAGTAATTCTCGAGT